ATCACAATCTTTTTGGCAGGTCAGATGGAAGGAGCGGCAGGAGGATTCGATCCCCCACCTCAAGGAGTTGCCCCCTGCCTTCTGCCACTTGACCTGGCCCCGAAGGGCCTGTATATTATATAACCTTGAAAATGTTTCATTTGGGTAAAAAAATTATTATGATATGATCGTATGATAAATACCCAAGTACGTGGATTGTAACATGAAACATGTATCCACAAAGATGATGATGATATATATATATATATATAAGTCCTTACACTCATTATGATTATCCATGTGGTCGACTTGTAGACGCGTAAACTTGGAATGTACACGTCCAAAGGTCATGAAATCCAATTCATTCGGATTCCCGAATATATATTCTATCGATCGTTGATGTTTTAACCGGATTTAAGATATATGCATTGGAAATTATACACGGAGAGTTACGTAGAGTTAGAGTTATATACATTATGAAATTATATTTTTTTGATAAAATTAAGATTGAAATTTCACTAAAACATGTAAAAGAAACCCTAGTAGTAATCCATTCGACAGGTTTCTTCTCTCTATTGTCGGATTGGGACAGTGTGGGGAAATATGGAGGAAACGTGTGTAGATATGCAAAAGTAAAGTTTGACATATATTTCTCCAAGGCAATGAAATGAAACTCGCAGGTCGGTTACACTTTCCGTCTCCGAATTAAATAAATAAAAATGTCAATATACATTTCTTCAATATGGTCAAGACCTACCAAATGTTTATCGTCCAAGTCCTTTGCCTTCTCGGACAAGAAGAGTTGCTCGAAATCGAAACTTTGCAAACCCCTAACCAAAAAAAAAAAAAAACATCAGTTTCATCTGCAACTTGTACGTAATAAACACAGACGTCTGTTCTTTTACATTACTTCACAAATCGATTTCAACCAAAAGACTTTCGGTTTCTGAAATTTTCAAACCCGGAAAGAAAAAAAACCCATCTCTCTGTTTCTATGTTCTTCAGCCAAAGCTCACGTTTTCTGTAAGCATTTTCTCCATCAGAGCTCGAGCTCAAAGCTCATCTTGGTTAAGAGACAAGACAGCATGAACACCATAAGCAAAGGAGATGCCTTTGACAATGTGGGTATCTTAAGTTAGGGTTCAGGTTATGAAACCTTGCTTAGTTGCTTAGTAAATCGGGAACTAATCCTCTGACATGGCAATGGCGCCCTCACCAGAACTCACGTCTGTTAAAGCGTTCCTCTGCTCCTCCATCAGTTTCTTCTGCTCCTCTTCTATCGTATTCTGCAACTCCTCCACCTATGCCAACGTTTTGCCATAAGCAAACACGGTCTCAAGAACTAGATTTCCGGTATCATCGGGACAAAAACCTTAAGAAAACAAGTAATAACAGCATGGAATGGATATGCAAATATGTTCTGATGAAGGGATGAGAGAAGGAAAGAACATCATAATGAAAAGGTGCAGTTTAAGAGCTCTGTTTTCGAACGTACCACATGCAAAAGTAACGCAAACTGTTTCTTCCTTAGCTCTACGAGCCTCCAGCTTGCTACATTCTCTGCCTCCAATTCCGCAATCCCCTTCTCCAGTTCATGTATGATCTTCTCTGTCTCTGATCTCGATGGTTGTTCGGACATCAGTTTCCTAATGGCCTCACACTCTTCTTTATGCTTTCTCTCCACTTTGCTCTCTTGGAGCTGTTTCTTAAGATCTTCTATATCAGCTTGAGCCTGCACTATCTGCCTATTCGTCTCATCCTTCACCTCGTTAAAGCTCTCCTTCTCCCTAAGGTTGGCCGAGATGACTGCTTGGCTCTTCAGAAGCGGAATCTCGAAAGTGGACAGTTCCTGCAAGAGAGCTTTGGCAAGTCTACCGCACTCGTTGTAGTTATCTTCATCCTCCTCTATTTCTAGTACTAAAGAAGTGAACTTCTTCTGAAGTTTCTTTAATGGGAGGTTCACCCCTTGTAGTTGTCGTGCGGGTGAGAAGCCTGTTCCTTATTATTACATCATCTTCATCTGGATCGAATGCATAATTAGCTGTTACGGTCTCCGACCTACCAGAAATTCTCCTAGCTTTTACCGACATCTGAACTATCAGGCTGCTAGTGATTCCTGTTTTACAACAGAAGCCAAAATCCACGAATTGAGCAGGCAAGCAGTAAACTTCCCGTTCTCAGTCAGGCATCTTAAGAACAGTGTTTTAACGAAACTTCCATCAAATGCATTTTAACCTCAACTGCTGTCTAAAGAATGAGATAGCCGAATGCTAAATTCTCAAGGGATAAAAGGGGTAGTTTTTCTCAAGGGATATCACCCCTTAACCATTGATTTCACTGCTTCTTCTTCGATGTTCTGCACAAATCCTCTTCAAAAAATCACAAACTTGTTTAATCTATAACCAAATTCTACCCCACTTTGAAAAATCAGCCTACCATACATTCACTAAATCTGCAGTTCTCTGGTTTATTACAAAAAAATCTGGCATCTTTAGCCTTATATGCAGCATAGATCGAATGTATTCGCTCTAGCTTCTACAGGAAACAGCATCAAGTGCTTGTCCTCAATCCAAACCCGACAAAGAGCTCATCCTTCAATGTCTGGTGAATCAAATTACCATAACGTAAATCAATGAAATCAGCAATAAACTTGATTAAGGACAAGATGCAGTCAACAGAACCAACTCCACGACTTCATTACAACTCATGAATCACAACAACAGAATACTTATAATTCGACTCAGAAAGTTTATCAGAATTCGGAGAAAAAACCCAGAAATCTCTGGGCCGAAAACGTTTATTCCACAACATCAGAAACCGAGGTTTCACACAAAAAAATATCCGCAACAGACGAAGAAAAAACAACAGCAAGAGAGATATTTTCGCTTACTCCAACCGAACCCACGATCCGGATATGCCTTCTGCAATAGAAATTGGAGACAAAACCCAGACTTTCCCCGAAAACAGATCCGAATGAAACTTCGCTATCATCCCTCTTTCTCTTTTTATTTGGGGGGGACTTTCTTCTTCTGGTACACGATAATGCGTACCGGACTAAACCGGTTTTGTGATTCTCTTGGGCCGGAACGTTCAGCGGGCTTATGAATGTTCTAGTTCTAACGGTTAAGTTATATCACATATGGATATTTTATTGGATAAACAATGAGACAATTTTATTAAAATTCAGCTAAATTCTAAATCGATCAAATTATTTATTTTCAAATGTCCATAAATTTAAATTCGTTTAATAATAATTAGTTAATAAAAATGAAAAAGGGGGATGATCACTGATTACATGGGAGTCCAACAAGAGCTGGTCTTAGGGTTCCAAAGAGCAGGGACCAAGAACTTCAAGTGTTTAACCCCATGAGCATTAAACGCTCCTCCGGTCGCCGGATCGATCCTGATTTTTCCGGTGAAACCCGGAAAGGCACCCGACCCGAAAATGCCGGGGCATGCGGTGGCGACCTCCACGACGCCGTCGTCGGAGCTTTCTGGAGTGAAGAAGAATCCGGTGAGGGTAGGGTTGGTGACGTAGTTGGCCATGGCGGTTGCCAGCTGGAGAACCATAGCGTCGGCACCCAGATCGCCACTTGGCGGCTGATAAGTCATGCCATGTGGACCCTTGTCGGCCGTGTGAAACGGCCATGCACACGTCCCAGGGCATTCCACCTCTGGGTTGCTCACCACTATATAAGCTTGCTTCTCTCCGATGAGTTCGTGTCTTTGGCATGTCGTGTTACAGAACCCTTCAACCTTCACGTCCCATGATACCATTATCACCGGAACTACGCCAGAATTATTGTCTCCTCCGCCCGCCGTCGCCGTCTCCACCAGCTTCTCAATACTCTCGCTCGTCAGTTCCTTGCCGTATTTCATCTCCTCGTCGGCGTAGCTCCGGGTAACTTTCACCGGAATCCTCGGGGCAACTCCGTCGGAGATTTTTCCGGCGATCTGGTAGCTCTCCACCACCCGCCACCATTTGGAGACCTTCGGGTCCAGACCTTCCTTGGCATTGAAGTTGAGCGACTCGATGAAATCGTGGATCCGATCCTTCTGAGAGCTGGTGAATCGTCCGTACCAGAGGAGGGAAAGATCAAGGGTCCCGTTGAAGACGGATCCGCCGTGGGATAAGATATCGGGGATCGCCGGTAGCGACGGCGTCTTGCGGGAGAGAGAGAGAGGAGCGAGGAGGAGGAAGAGCAGTACGGATAAGACGAGAACAGATGGGTTGGAGGAGGAGGAACAGGGAGAAGACGCCATTGCTACCGTAAAATTTTCCAACTTTTTCATTTGGATGAGGTGTTTTTACGTAAGAGTTAAGCTATTTTTGTCGACATCAATGGCGTTTGTTTGGTCATGAAGAACTCGCCATTGAAGGAGACTGCTATTTTAAGAGGCTTTTACAAAATTTTCATGCTCGTTACAGACACAAACATTGATATGTTTTATGTCTAATAATAACCCTACACACACTCGTGTAATATATCACGGAAAAGGTTTTTTTTTTTTAGTAATGATCAACAGCTATAAATAACCATCCAGAATATTGAACACACAACCATAAAATAGAAAAAAAATATTAGTCAAGAAAAAGACGTGTACTTCGTATCTGCCTACGTATAGTATCCGACCAAAAGAAAGATAATATCATCCAAAGTATAATGCATCAAATTCCAGAAGTAAGCTCCTATGAACAAAAGGCTATCTACATTTTGGACGTGTTTTTATTACAGAGTTCACAATAGAATAATCACAACCACAAACAGACATAGTTTGAGCTCCGGTATCATCAGACGCATGAACGGTCGGATGAACGGTCGGATGAAAGGTTTCGTTTGTTGGTTTGTGTAGGCAAGAGGCATCGCGTGTCTTTGCATTTTATCCATTTCAGGCCTCTCTCTTCGTTGTTCTTCGTTGTCAGCTTGGAGGCCACCGATTTGATCCCTCTTCTCATGTAATTCACTGCCACCATCACCACCTCTCTGCAAATCCATGCCATAAAAACCATTTCTGTCAATGTTAGACCATGCAAACCCCGAAAAATGTGACATCTTTTGCATCTTTATAACCGAAAAACGATAGCTTTTATACGTTATATCACTACCCAGATGAAGAAGAAATGGAAAAATGCTTTCTACTTACAAGGGTGAGCAAGGGGTGAGAGCGCCATTGATGAAGTAGACGAACAAGTAGGCATCAAAATGCTGACCATTGATGAGATAAAAGCCATGTAACCTCTGGACACATCTGAAGGACATTCTTTTGTACAAACGGATGGCGGGATTGTTGTGAGCAATCACATGAAGGTAAGCTCCGCGGCATGTAGGGATGCCGGAAGCATATTTGATGACCTCTTTGATTAGGGAAGATGCTGAAAATTGCAGAAACTTCCAACTTTGTTATCGAGCAAAGGAAATTTCAGAAACCCTGGTATGGTTTTACAAAGGCAAGGCATACTCTACATACCTATGCCGAGATTCCTATACGTCTCTACAACTCCAAGTGTCAGGATGTACACCAATGTCTCCTCTCCCTTTGTCGAGTCATACCGAATTAGATCTGCTATCTGTGCAAGACACATAAACCATCTGCCAGCCGATGAAAGTATCGAAAGAAAACAGCCCCTGATTCACTGCTTGACTATGAGTTAGGCAAACATTATGATCCCACTAAACATGCTTCAATTGTAGTCGAGACTTTGCTGCTCCAATTCTAGAAATTTTTTCACTTTGAAAGGCTTTACAAGAAAACCCATCTCCTAAAACTTGTCAAAGAGCATACTTAATCGAAACCTAAACATAACGAGCTGTAACTATGACCAAAATCTAAAATTTATAAGACCTTGCAAGCTCATTCACAAACCCAATTGCCACAAAAACTCTCGGAAGGCCATGCTTGAATCCAATCCAGACGTTATATGCCATTTCCCATGTCCGAGAGTTGACACTTCTAAAGACTTTTAGTGTCAAAAGGTGAAAGAACGAAGAACAATCTCAGAGGACACGAAGAGCTCACCTCGCTTTCTCTCGCGAGCATAATCTTGGCGGTAACAAATCCAATCAGTTCATCACAGTGTCCATCAGGTCGGCTCCGATCGACGGCAGCCCAAGAAACGATATCACATCCGCTCACGACACTCTGAAAAAACTCAGACTCATACCTGAGGAGATCAATTCTTCAACCCTTGATGAAACCACCGTGAATTTTTTTTTTTAAAAAAGGAAACTTGAACTGAAAATCATCCACCTAACCATCGAACAAGTTACCTGACTGGGAATATATCACGATGGATTTGCTCCAGACGCTCCAGATCAGAAGGGTTTATAGGTCGATAGCATATAATCGGACGAAGAGAGATGCTTGTCTCCTTCATTGACGAATTCTCCATTGATCCTCGGGGCAAAGGCGACATTGTTGCCAATATTGTGATTCAGAACCTGAAATTCAAGCTACGAAGCATCCCGTCGGCAAATCGCCACATGAGCCGCGAGTGAGAAACACCGGCTCCGACCCGTTTTTCCGAATCGGATCCAGGTTGGGTTTTTTGCCCCCCCGATCTGAGTTTCTGAATTTGCTTCCTGAATAGAGAGAGGAGAGACGAGAAAGAAGAGACAAACGGGAAGTGGTTTGTTAAGTACTAATGATACGTCACGTGGCTTTCACGTGACAAATAGGAGAGAGATCGACTGAACCAGAACCATATGTACATGGTGATGTTAATCTTGGTCCAGTTTACTCTAATTAAATTAAATTAATTTAAATAAATAATTATATTATGGAAGCCACATATCCTGGTATTTGAAATCAATGGCCAAAGCTTTGTATACGGAGCTGCAGAAGTTACCAAAAAAAAAAAAAAAACAGTAGATGGATCTTACTTGCAGAGAAAGAAGAATCCATCTCCAAAGTGCCACTGATAAACCCAAAAGGACCAACTCTTTCCTCCAAGCAAGAAAGCCTGAAAGAATACAAAAATTTAACATCTGAATCTGTAACCCATCATATGATCATGCATGAAAAAGGCTTATTAGACCCTTTGTTGCATCCTGAAGGATCTTAATGACTCCTACCTTTCATTTACCCCGCTCTTGCTCACTATGGATCCCATCCTCCTCGATGTTTTCTCGGTTGCAGCTTCTGCATTTCCCATCATCATGACACTGTATGAATGAATGAATCGGTTTCGGTTCAACCTATGTGCCGGAAAACAAGCAGAACATCCAAACATAACAGAGTTTTACTCTGAAAAGTTACGGTTTTTGCGCCTTAAGTCATAGGCCAGACCAGCTCTCATGTTTGTGTCTGAAACCCGCCAACAAGTATCAATCAGATTGTTGTTAGGAATGGCTTTCGACCGCTCTGCATATTCGAGCAGAAGTTCAAGGCGATTGCATTAGCAACTGCTGACGAGATACGATAACAGTGTTAAGGGAAAAAGAGTCTTCCCCCCGATCATGATCACAAAAATATCAGACAGATAATACGTAACGTAACCACTTCACTACTTACATGAATCGTCTCACCACCACTGGTTAGCTAAATTTCTATCTAACAAAATAAATGCATACACTGCAGCAGAGAAAGTGGCAAGATTACGTAACTAGATCTAGATCCATCTATCTTCTTTCTTTCTTTGTTCAACCCTGAATAACTAGGAATACGGAAGAGGCAGGAAGGAAAGTTTGAAACTTGGAAATATGAAATGGACAATGAAGCAAACAGACAAACATAGCAGTTTGATCTCTTAGTGTCCCTTCAAAGACAAGCAAGAGACCCAAAGGCTTCAAGTTTTTCGAATTTAAGACATTCACGTTCACATTTTCGACATATTGATATTCAACATCTAAACAGAAATGTTTCCGAGATCCACGACAGATTGAACCTATGGCATCCTGAATCATAATCTTATGTATTTTCTATACGAAAACGAAGCAGTAACAATCGGAGGGGAAAAAAAGTTACCAGATCACATTCACGAACCCATGGCTCCGGTAAGTCTCCCAACCTCGAACGAATCAGGGCGGGTGATCAGACTCACCACAACCGAGCACGGCCTCCGAGTCGGCCGAGTCCTTCTAATGGAGTTCAGAATCCGGAGACCGGAAACCCGCCGCCGGAATCTCGGCGATTCAGAGGGAGGCAGGAGAGCCGGCCGAAAGAAATGCGATGAACTGCCACCGGATTTATCATCTTTCGGCTCAGTCCACTGAGCCCAGCCCAGATAATGAAATGAGGGCAAAAAGCGAAGGACGTTTGTCTATGTCCTACGTGGCATTTTCCTCATTAAATATATCGATAATATAATATTTTCAAGGGGAACCAGATCGACGGTTCAGAATGTGCCACATCATCCACCCGCGAAGCTCCACCGCCTTCTGGACAATATAGAACTAAAAAAATAAATGAAAAAGAAAACAAAAAGGGTTCGACGAAGTTTGTCCTTCTAAACCTTGAAGGTTCTTGTAGGTTTTGCTCCAATGGTGGATTCGATTTTCTCTCTGTGAAAAAGAAAACTCCCATATCGATCGACTCGCTGTCTGTGTAATTTATCCCTCTCTTGTTGGATATGGAATCTGTTCGTGAATCCGTACCGGCATCTGTGCCACCGGCGGTGAATTCTGTGCCGCCGTTTCTGAGCAAAACCTACGACATGGTCGATGACCCGTCGACCAACGAGGTGGTCTCGTGGAGCAGCGGAAACAACAGCTTCGTTGTCCGGAACGTGCCGGAGTTCACGAAGGAGCTCCTCCCCAAGTATTTCAAGCACAACAATTTCTCCAGTTTCGTCAGACAGTTGAACACTTACGTGAGCTTAGATCTTTTATCTTTTGGTTTCATTTTCTGATTCACCGCTTTTTTATGAGTTTTTAATGTTGGGAATTCTTGCTTGCTGTGATCCATTTTTACAATTGTCGAGTTGTTGTTGAATCAAGTTGTATGAATGAGACACCTTGTGAAGCTAGTGGAGAATGTAAACTCAACATCTACACTAGGTTACGGTTATTAAGGGTTAGCTTTAATCCCATGATAGAGTTGTTAGGGTTTCAAGGCTTTTGGTCTGAGTCTAGATTCTGTTCTTGGTTATCTCTGTTAGATTCTGTATTATGTCTGCGTACAATAGTTTCAGGCTATACTATTCATCGGGCTGTTGTTTAGAATTACTTGACATGAAATCTTTTTGGATCTTTGGGTGTTGGTGGGATTCAAAGAGATGTTTGTCAAGGTCGCTGCGGCAGTGCAGGTTTTGGCAGCTTATTTGATCTTCTTAAGCTTGGAAGACATGTTGTTAGGTTATGTAAATGAGATGAAAGATGACATGAATTTCTTTAATGGGTTATTTTTATATGAAACTGTGAAGTAGTCATGAATCTGGGAAGGATCAAAATAGCAAGGCAGTGGGAGGAAGGTGGCATGTGGTCTTCTTAACAGTGTTTTTTCTAATGCAGGTTATATCATTGTAGTCAATGATAGCAGATATTAATATATCGAAGATCTGGTGATGATAGCTGTGTTCATAATTAACATAATGATGATCTATTTATTGTACCAAGTGATGGATGAACACGATGAAGTTTGATCAGTATACCAATTCTGTTTCATGTGTCTCCCTGTCATGGTCTATTCATAGATCTTGTATTTGCTTGTTCCTGTATTTTATCTCCATCTGCCCTTGATATTCATATTTCCTAGTATCCCTTGTGTCATTTCCGTCTAGCTCCATTGGTAGCTTAGCATGGCAATTTATTGACTAAGATCAATGTCTGTGTGGTGTTCTTTGAACTCTTGCGAAATCGATCTTTGTATATATTCTTGTCCTTATATCTTGTCTAGGAGACTGTCTAAGTAGAGTATTAGTTTCTCAGCCTGTTGTCATTGCTTTTTTATCAAACAAAACCAAGAGGACAATGGCCTTACAAAGTTTTTTTTCTCTCTTTTTTTTTATTTATTTATTTTCTTTTCCATACTTACCAAAAGATTCCAAAAACTTTGCAGGCTCACTTGCACATGTCCTCAAATATGTCTGGAGAGTGGTTGACTCAACGGTTCCCTTTCTGCCCCGTTGCCATAAATCACAAAACAAAATGTCTATCAGTTGTCACACGTTAGCTTTTCATTCGTTTGTATATGTCAGTGCAGGTATATGCTGATAAGCTTAAGAAATTATTGATTTCCTTAATCCATGGTAGTAGCTTTAAGCTGCAGTGAGGATATATTGGAGAAATTTGTTCTCTTCAGACTTATGCTTGAATAAATTAGCATAGTATAATTTGGTTCATGAAAAGTTGTTACTATGCAGTTTTGCTGTGCTCTCCGTGTTTATACTTTGAGTTAGAATTGGATTTGGTTATTATAGAATAAGAATTACCAAAACTAGATCCTATGTGAGTCCTACTTCAGTGAATTACAATTTCGAATGATGGTTTCCATTCTCCATTGCAGTTTTTTTATTTGATGGGTATCTTCCTTTTGCAATTTTTGGTCCAGGGATTCAGGAAAGTTGACCCAGATTGCTGGGAATTTGCAAATGAGGGCTTTCTGAAAGGCCAAAAACAACTATTGAAGAGTATAGTGAGGCGAAAACCTGCTCATGTCCACAATCAACAACAACCTCAAGTTCAAAACTCGTCTGTTGGCGCATGTGTTGAGGTGGGGAAGTTTGGACTTGAAGAAGAAGTGGACAGGCTTAAGCGGGATAAGAACGTCCTGATGCAAGAACTTGTAAGGTTAAGGCAACAACAACAAGCTACTGAGCACCAACTGCAAAATGTGGGGCAGAAAGTCCAGACAATGGAGCAGAGACAACAACAGATGATGTCATTTCTGGCAAAGGCTGTGCAGAGTCCAGTTTTCCTAAATCAGTTAGTGCAGCAGCAGAGTGACGGCAACAGATGCATAGGTGGAAGCAACAAAAAGAGGAGACTTCCTGGAGAAGATCAGGAGATCTCTAGTAGCCATGGGGCTAATGGTCTTAACGGGCAGATGGTTAAGTACCAACCGTCAATGAACGAAGCGGGAAAGGCTATGCTCCAGCAGATATTAAAGATGAGTAGCGCACCTAAGTATGATCCCTTCACAAACAATGCTGGAAGCTTTCTTTTGGATGATATCCCAAGTCCAAATGCTCTAGACAATGGCTCCTCGAATAGGGTGTCTGAGGTGACATTAGCTGAGGTTTCGCCAAACCCTAGTTTTTCGTGCCTGTCTTCAGCTCCCACTACAAATTTGCAAGAGCCTTGTAAAACGGACGAAGTACCCAAGACAAATACATCTCCTCAGTCACGAGCTGAAACGGTTCAGCCAAAATTAGCACAAAAGCAAAGGGGGGCAGCTGAGGAGAGCCCAGATTCTGATCTAGTAAGATCATGTGGGGTTGATAATGGAGAGTCCAATCTGGATCCGATCACAGCTGTTTTGGATGGATTTATGGAACTAGAAGGCGATGTGGACGACATGGATGAGTTTCTGGATGGGGTTCCTAAACTGCCAGTGGTTCACGATTCTTTCTGGGAACAGTTCTTTGCTGCGAGCCCGGTGACTGGGGACACGGATGAGATCATTTCAGGAGCAATGGAAAGCATCTGGGTAATGGAACAAGAATCACAACCGGACCAGAGGAATGGTGGTAAGAATCAGCAGATGGACAATCTTACTGAGCAGATGGGACTTCTTAGATCAGAAGCCCAAAGGAAATGACGTCTCAGTCCGTCCGTCTTATCTTTTGTGACTCTGAGGTGAGAAATCTTTAAACCTGGCTTCTCTTTTTACCTTATTGTGTATTGAGAGCTATCTGAAATCTGTGTCATGGTTATGTCTTGAAGCATGATTCTGTTGCTAAGTTGACAAGTTATCTTCCCCGTTCCATCAAAATCCACCACGTAATAGAGAAATGAGAAAACCTAAGTAGGAAACAGCCTGTTCCCTTGTCGGCAAAGGAGTAGGAAACTTTCCCGTGAATTCCCGCTAGGTATCCCTACCCTACCCTTCTCGTGAACAAACGCTGAACCATCTGGAGTTTGCCTCGGAGCTCGTTGCTTTCGAATGCGGTAGTTTCCTGACCGTTGGTTTTTGAGAGAATCTGTGTTTTTTTTTTTGTGTTGTGGTGATGAGTGCAGACGTTGGATGGCTCTTCTGCTTGTGGGAGTCTCAGCAACAGCCGACAGGGACCTGGCAGAAGGAAGAAGGAGCCTCTCCTTTGATGTATGTAACAATAATAAGTAACAATTTACATTTTTTTTTTGTCTTTAAAATGGTTGTGATGTAAGCTGTGTATCCCTTTTTCCGATTCACACAGAAACTCGAGAAAAAAAAGATGTAATAATATGGTAAAAGGTTTTATAAAAGAAAGTTTTCCAACTGTGTTTCGACAATTAATTACATTGAAGTAATGGTTCTTGTGTAATTAAATGTTTTCATTCATCAACGGTCTAAGCTTTGTTTAAATTCCCTACTCATCCACTGATGGATGGAATATCCAAAGGGTGGCCAGTTCGGATCGGGATGGTTCGATTCGATTCTTTCTATTTAACAAAAATAGGTATTCATCGGGTATTATAATCTGTCCGCTTTCGATTTTAGTTCGATTCGATTTCAGTTTTTATTAAAAAATTAGATCTTAAAAACATTGACTTTTCGATTTTTTTAAAATTCAGTTCGATTTTAGAAAATTCTTTTTTTAAATTAATTATGTTCGAGAATTTTAGACAGTTTAGATCGGAAAAAAATACCATATTCTTTGTTCTTCGTAACGGAAATGTCCACCCCTAATCCAAAGTTTGGGTGATCTGGCTCGGGAAAATCCACCACGTAGTCAGTCGCTTAACGGTCATAGTCCCTTGATCGTGAACCGGGACCAACTAGATATTTGAATGCGTCATTCCATATTCCTCATCTTCTAGATTCTAGAAGAGGAGCTCAGAGGCAGACTGTATTATGGCACGAAAATTTTTCTTTTTCTGCCGACTGATGTTTGGTAGGGAATTTAGGGATTTGGATTTTATCTGGTTCAATCTTCGGTTTATGTTTAAATTTTCGGCTTAGACTAAACCGGTTCCATTGTCGATTTATGCTGATGTGTAATACACGTGTTAAATATTCAGATCCATGGTGGCAGCCACGTCAGTCGTCCTAAACGGCTGTTTAACGCCGTTTTATACGGCGCATCTATTTGGCAAAATTGAACAAATCTGGGTATTTATTTCTTGAAATTGGAATTTGAGATTTTTATTTATTGGGAACATTTTGACAAATTGGATATTTTTTTTAGATTTTCCCCTTTTTAAATAAAAGAAAAAGCGAAACATTTTTTCAGTTAAAATACATGACAAATTATTCCCCCCTCCAAAAGCGCTCAATCTGTCGTTGACTCATTCAGGAGTTTGAAAAATCTCATACCAGTTCCAGAAAAACGTGAAAAGGAGATGAGCGGCGGAGGCGAGAAACCGGCGGCGAAACTCGGCGATGAGCAGCTTGCGGAGCTCCGGGAGATTTTCCGATCATTTGACCAGAATAAGGACGGTAGCCTGACGGAGCTCGAGCTCGGGTCGCTTCTCAGATCGCTAGGACTGAAACCGAGTCAAGATCAACTCGACGCGTTGATCCAGAAAGCCGATCGGAACAACAACGGCATGATCGAGTTCTCGGAGTTCGTCGCGCTCGTGGAACCGGATCTGGTGAAGTGTCCGTACACGCAGGAGCAATTGCGTGCAATTTTCAGGATGTTCGATCGGGACGGGAACGGTTACATAACGGCGGCGGAGCTGGCGCACTCAATGGCGAAGCTAGGGCACGCGTTGACTGCGGAGGAGCTGACGGGGATGATCAAGGAAGCCGATAGAGACGGCGACGGGGGTATTGATTTCGAGGAGTTCGCTCAGGCGATTACAGCCGCAGCTTTCGACAATGTTTGGGGATGAATTCAGCAGGCACATAAGATTTCTGAGGTTTGTTTCATTTGTTTGAATGTTCGTTCTGAATTTGAGGTAACCAAAAATACATATACATACATGTATATATGTATATACACGCACGCGTGTGGTTTTGGTTTATGCAATGACTACAATATTGTGACTTTTGTTCAGTGATTAGTTTCAATGAAATTAACAAGTCATGCTTCGTTTTCTACTTAGTATGGAATGGAAGAACAGCATCTGAATACAAAAGATGAAAACTTGGAGATAAGAATGACACGAAAACACATTAAAGAAGTAGACAGGAGAGGTCTTAATACCTCAATTCCCACAGGGAAGAAGAGTGCGACCTGTCTATGGCGTACTCCATTTCCCGTGACAGATTCCGGGATAGCTTATGTTCCGCCAATGCAGACTTCAAATACATCAAGAGGATCCGATAACGGGTTTGCTTTTTCTTCAGAACTTGGATAAAAGCATGTATTCCTAACCAAGTCACTTCTTTTTTGTACAGCTTAAGTACCGGTCTGAAACTAGACCCGGTGTTTATGCTGCTCATCCTTCTCCTCACGAGCCTGAACATATACCTAAGAGCAAGAATGCAAAGATCGATCAACTTATTTTCAGGCTCAAGATTCATATATACATTACAATGTCTTTTTGTCCGCTTACCTGATGGATCTTATGATGAATTTTAGACACATTCTTGGATGAAGCTTCCAAAACCGAGATAGCTCATAGGCGTAACAGTGGAATTTCATTGCAGCCAACAGAAAAATCTGGTAGACATTCAATCTGATAACAGCTCCCGAGTTGATGTTCGAGTCAAAGAGGATGGGATGGCATTTCGGTGACAAGAATGAGCACAATTTTCGTCTTAGATGGCGAACAGGTTTACCTTGCCAGGCTACCGTAAAGGTCGAGCTTATATGGTTATTCAGGTACCTGGTTCATCATTTTATAAAAGCGAATCTCAACAACCCGACCCAAATGCCATGATGATTTCAATGAACATACCGCATATTTGAGACTTGAGAGTATGATTGTGTTAGAGTCACAACCTGACGTAAAGTTTTTCCGGACTTTAGGAGCCATGATCCAACGGCTTTCGAGGATCGTTATATTTTCTATTAATCAGATATTTTGCTCCTTATGTAGGAGGCACAAGAGAGAACTAAGGAATATTAACAAATATATTCCTAAAAAATACTTTCAACATTATAACATCCTAAATTTCAAATCCCAAAATAATAAAAACAATCGCATAAAATTCACTAATCTATCAGATTGTTATGGAAAAGATAAACCACAAGGCATTAGGAGAGAAAACAGTTACCTTGTGTAGTCAACTTGAACTTCAAATGAGCAAGAGTTGATGAGCAAACCAGTCCATCTAACGAAAGGAATTCCATCCTCACCCGCATACATCCTCTTCGTTGATGATGAAGATCGTGACTCACCATCGACCTCAAAGTTTAAACAGAATTTATTTCTGTTCATGAAGCAGTTATACTCAGGGAATCCACCCTGCAACCTGTGGAAAAAGCTTGCCGCTTGCTTTTTCGAGGTAGACACGAAAAGGAAATCGTCGATAAATCTCAGCAGATTGTAGCTCGGAAGAGTCGGCGGACTCCCGAAGATATGGATAGATCAAAGTCCTCTCGATATGGCCGTGGTATAAACAACATAACAAAGAAGATAACTTATGCCCCTGCGGGATACCGACTTTTTGTACGTAAAATTTCTCATCCAACTGCAGGAAGTTATTCTTTAACATCTTTTCCAGCCAAACCATGAGGTCACTTTTCCTTATTGACTGACTTTCTCCCTGAAAATTTAGGTAATAACCACAAGACCCATAAGCGAAATAATAAAGGAAGTGCAACGAATTCTAATTGAGGTTTCTAGGGAAAACAAAAGTATCTCTGTTCAAATTTGTCAGTCTAATGTTCCTTCTTTTTCACTAAGAAAAATCTATCATCTTCTGTTTTTTTGCCACGCTCAAGTACTGACGAGAGGGTTTTATAAAAAACGTAAGGAAACATCGAAAAAAACAACCATTTTAACCCGAAGACATAGAAGGAATAAGACAGAATCCTATAAAACTAAGTACATTTCCAAGCCAAGAGCAAATCAAGATTGTTCTAATAGATAGATAAAAAGGACATGTTTTTTACATATATAATGACCTACCAAAATTGACATAAATATCTGGACACAACATGTAGAGACAAAAAAAAAATGCCAGAAGCTCAGAAAGCCAAGGAAGCATACCCGATCAACTATGACATGATGCAGTGGTCTGTATGGAGCAGCTGATGTGAATCTCGAACGGCCAGTGTTTTTATCAACGGAGACAAGTACATCACTTACCCATTGTGATCTCTTTCCTCGGCAGACCAAAGCACATTTGTTTAACACATATTTATCCTTCAGGACAGACTGCATGAGACAGAGCAGCTTGTCCTGATCGATGGAATCAAAGGCTTTGTATACATCCGCAACCACAAAGAACAGAGGGGGAACCTTTCCAGATTGACTCCTCAAACTGATCAGATATGGGCACAACTTTCTGTAAACATCATCATAGTCAAAAACGGAAGAACCTAGTAGATCTGGTTCTTTGAGCTGAATTTCCTTCAAAACAGCATGTGAATCACGAAGAGGACAAGATCTTGACGAGGAACTAAGATTTACTACCATTCTCATACCATCTTCCTTCGGGAGAAGCCTGAACTTTAACAACCCGTGTGTTCCACTTCTACTTTCAGCCGTGTTCACTTGGATGTATCCATCGAGGGTTTTGCTAATTTCTCTGTTGATTAACCTTTTCCAACTGCATTTCCGGTAATAATAAACGTTTTGCCTTCCGTCTTGGCTTTCAGTGATATAGAAGTTGGCTGAAACCAGTTTATTTACTATCTCCGAGAAAAGCCAAGAAATCCATTTCAAGCACAAGATGTGCTGTGTGCTTCTGATAGATTTATCATGCAGTTGATGTCCTTTACACATGCAGAATATCTGTTTTCGGGCGAAGAACGAGAAGCTTGATGGTTTCACCTTGTGCAAGAGTTGCTTTGCGGTGCATTTCTCATGTCTTCGCTGGGAAATAAACCAGGCGATGTTTCTCCTTAGTACCCTCCTCTGACGGTTAGTTCCAAGTAGATTTTCGGGAACTATACTCCTACAAACAGCCCATATAAAGGAAACTACTTGGGTTTTTGTGCAATATGGCCTCATTCCTTCGATCTCAGGACCCACAATTTCTGCATCTTTCTTATTCCTCTTAGTACTTGGCCCATGAGGCTGCACATCTGGATTTTTGCCCTCTTGGCTCTGTAAAAGAAGATATGAAAACAGTGTCACTCCCTGGTATTAGGTGGAAAATGACACATATAAATCCTCAGACAGATATGCAATACACATGCAAGGTTAGCTGCCTAGTCTATTTGAAAGGATAAATCCGGCAGTTTTTTCAGCCAAAAATTTTACCAATACGGAAGAATCAACAGGAAAAGGAAATTTGTAAAGGAAAACATATCAACCTGACAGTTTGAATTTGTGGACACCAAAGCCTCTTCTTCAAAAGGGGCAGCTGGACAGTGCTTATCCAGTAACTTTTTCAAATGGCGAGACCTAGCATTTCCTATAAGACTTTTGAACGACTTGAGCAAAGAATGGTACCTGCATAATAGTAGAAGGAAATACAACATTATCAAGTTGTTTGTAGTGTCAGCAACCTGGAATGACTAGAAAATTGTGTGCTTTCTCAAGTCAATAACTTGTTCCAAGTTAAGGAGCAAGTTTAATTTGATAAAACTTAACAGTTCTCGGTCTCTGTGTCCTATTCCCGCACGTTACTCCTCTATGCACAACATTAACCAAATGAAATAGAATGAATAGCCCACAAACTTCTACCACAACTGCTGCAATTTGTCAATGATAACCATTTGGGGAGCCTATAATTAAAAAAACTAGGGAACAGAAAATATAAGCTCCAGCTGAAAGTTACTGCTGAATTCTTAAGAGGTTATGTGGTTTTGTTCAACAATATAGAGCAGTCGCCTTAGATTTCATTGTACGATAGGAATCAACGGATGGTAGATAAGTTCATACAGTGAATCAGAGAAATTATTCTAGAGACAGAAGAAACATGCATCAATGTAAGACAATGCAAAGAACTGGACTCACAAGCAGGTAGAATCACTTGGGCAGTTGCCCTTGCCATGGATGGACGCTGTTGACCAAGCACTTATATCACCAAATATGATCTTCATTAGCAACTTTGAATCAGAGCAGTTGGCCTTTAAGCTGTTTAACACATCTGTATATCATAAGGATATGTATATCACTTGCACACGGGAATTGTGGATGAGAAACCTCATACTCAAATTTCACAACACCACAACTCAATAAACCGGTTCAAACTGCTGAAGGATACGCTTTGCAGGTATAACTGAAAGGGATTCCGAAATATTAAGCATGGACCGCTTCTTTGTCTTAACCTGTTCAGCACACATAACAATGATTATATCTTCTAAAACCAAGGAAAGGTCTTGAATGTTGAGAGTAACAAAGAATTCAACAGGAATTAGTGAAAGCCAAAATTAGATAGATGATATAGTTATTATTAAGATGCCCTAAGACGAGTTTCAAATTTCCTATCAAATTCTCAATACCGGTAGGAAGTCTTGAGCAAAGAATTTCCACAAGGTAATCTGAGAAGCTCTAAATAAAAAATTTGCATTTTAGAGAACTCTGAGAAATCAAATCTCCTGTATTTAGAATCCACACATTTGACATTTAAATTTGATTAGACAAGCCCTATCCGTAAACATACCTGCTTTGCTAGAACCGTGGGTCTTACATTGCTACCAGTCTGCAGATTCCTAGAGTTGGCTTCAGGATTCCCAGCTGAGGTCTTTCCAGTGGTACAAGAGGTTACACAAGGTGTTTCATTGTAAGCAGTTCGAAGATCAACCCGTTTCTGCTTCTGTCTACGCTTAAGATACAGCCTTGAACGCTTTTTACGTTTCCTCTCTTTTCGAGTTGAGCTATAAACTTGTTCCTTATCTAAAGCTTCCCGCTCTTGTGCTACATCCTCACCAGTTTTGGAAATAACAGCTGCAGATGTATGTTTTGAAAATAATCTCTGCCTCTTCTTTGATGGCTGAGCTCTATCTTCTCTCTTTCTCTTGTTTACGGGCACGGACAGTTGCTCTATCACCATGAAGAAGAGCAGCTAAAAAAGTTATTCTTCAGCACTAAACACTAAAAGTTGATAAGATATCAAAGCATATCCAGGACAGAAATCACGGCTATTAAAAGGATATAAGCATGCAAAAGAAGATATATGCTTGGGTTATGTTTAAGGAAATATCGATGTAAGATAGTAACGGCAGAATGAGATAGGTTAAGATAAAACGAAGGCCCAAATATGCCTCTAGAAGCAGTCAAAGGCCCCCCAAAATCTTCCTCCTAATCAGATTGCCATCAGCCTTCTCCCAAGAATTTACGAAATAGTGTTTCTAGTTATGACATCGACGTTGATACTGAGATTTACCCTTTCGCTCGGTACTGAGAGGAGGGCCAGCCACCTGCTGGTGTTTCTTTCCTAAAAATGGCAAAAATATTGATGTATGTCGTAGTAGATAAACCATAACATCATGACCAACCTGCAAACAAGCAAATCAATGACCCCAAGTTCTAGGTGTTCAGAAGCAAAACTATCAAAAGTCTCGTCTACACACCCGGCTCAGAAGAAGTTCCCAAGCTGAGCTTGTCAATGATTCAAGAATAGGGCTCGACTGATCATACTGTCAAACAGACAGAAGAAGGGAAGAGCATAGTCAACTCAGTTGATAAATCGCAGCCCCTAAACCAGATGATGCATAAGAAAACATGAAAACTCACCTTGTCATATCTAGCACAAATCACATTTCGACCAGCACTTGAATAACTTGTCATTTCAATTACTCTTTCGACAATCTGGAAACAAAACCCATTGTCTTATGCTTAAACTCAACAACATATTTGAAACAAGATAAAAAAAGATGTAACAAATTTTTACAACATTTGGACAGTTATATGATGAGAGGTTTTTTAAATCAAAGTGAAAAAATTTCTTCAGCTCCTCAACTTTACAAGAATCCTTCAAGTTAGCATTTTGAAACAAAAATGTCAAAATCATAGAGCTAACAACATAGACGCATCATTAACATTATGCACGATTCCAAACACAAATCGGATATTTTGACCTCTCTCTGCGACCATCGAGATTTGGGCGAGAAATCTAGAAGAGGAGGGGCTTGTTTTCGAACGACGACGAAGCAACGGCGAAGGAGTTTACGGTAGTGAATCGGATCATCATGGCGCAGTATAAAGGCTTCCTTATCGGAGCTGCATCGGAGGCAGCGTCGGCGACAGCACCGGCA